TAAAGCCAACAAGTATCTGTTCTTTTTTTATCCAGATAGACTCTTTTGTTCCCAAAAGTACTACATTTGTGGAATTAATTAATTGGTACTTTGATAATTGGTTTATTCACAAATTATATATCCTTTTAGCAGAAAAGGGTTCATCATAACTAAGAAAACTGGTTACCTGTAATCATGTCCCCTAAGTAGTTAGAACCCTTGGTTAGCAATAAAGTTGGTCTCTCCTGCTCTCGCTCCCAGGCTCTCCTCACGAGGACCACCAAGTGGGGCTGAGGTGAGCATGCTACCATGAAAAAATAAATAAATAACTAAGAAAACTTTAAACTCTGGGAAATATATAGGTTTTTTTTCTATTTGAACTTAAATTTTTTTAATTTAAAATTGTGATTGTTTCTTGAATGTTTTCAGTTTTAAAAGTCATAATTTAGTTATTTATCATTTCTTTGATTATAATTTTCATATTACAATGAGTCTTCTGTTTAGGAGACTATATATAATATTTCCAGAATTATTTTTCAGAGGTACAAATATAGCCATATCATTTTTATGCTTAAAAACTCCTGGTGGATTCCCTCATTTACAGGACTTTCTTCAGCTCTTCAGTGTATTGAATGACATGTCCAAGGCTACGTCTGCAGCCTCTTGTTTGGCCCTTTCCATCCCACTGTCTTTCCCTCATGAACTCCTACTTCCTCTTAACGTTTAAACATCGCCAGGCTGTGTTCTTGTCACTCTTACACATTCATGTAGGAGGAAGTTAGACTGATTTGGTGGTCTTTAAATTGGGTTTGTGCCTTGGCACTTAGTAACAGGATTGCACATAGAACTAGTAGTTGAAACATGTTTACTGAGTGAAGAAATATTTTTAGTACTACTTCCAAATTGTTTAGATCTTGTTTCTTTCTGCCTTCCTGGAGATAAATTTCGTTTATCTGGTACTTAGTACTGGTACATAGTTAAAGCTTCAGTTGTTTTGGCTCTGCTATTTTTTATACAGGCCCTGATGGTTATAGTCCAAAATAATTGTCATCCTCAGCTAACCTTTTTTCTCCTTTTTTTTTCCTTTCTCAACTACTTTGTTTTAGAATGAAAACCTTGAAAAATCTGTATTCAGGACAGTTTTTAAGGATTCTTGTCTGTGTGAGCCTTTGTCTATTTTGAGCTTTGCATTGAGGAAAAGAATTTTCCCTTTACTAAAATTTGATATTGCTGAGCTGTTCTACTCCCATAAAGAGCTTCAGTCTTAGAAACCCACGGGCTGTTCTACTGCCCTATAGGGTTGCTATGAGTCAGCATCGACTCGATGACAGTGAGTTTGAGTT